AACAAGCTCCAGGCTCTGAGCTGTCAGCACAGAGCCCGACGCGGGGCTCGAACTCACGGACCGTGAGATCATGACCTGAGCCGAAGTCAGACGCTTAACCGACTAAGCCACTCAGGTGCCCCTTCTTGCTCAATTTTAAACTAACTAGAAGCAATTCAGAAGCAAAATTATACTTCTATGTAACCATTTTGCGAATAGCACTTTGCCATTTCTAGGTGACTTTTCAAATATACGAGTTATGGTTTTCTCTTAGATATAAATGCAAGTCAGGGGCACCTGGGTGGCTCAGTCGGTTAGGCGTCTGTCTCTTGGTTTCTGCTCAGGTCATGATCTCATGGTTCATGAGTTTGAGCCCCGCATCAGGCTCTGCACTGACAGCATGGAGCCTGGTTGGCATTTTCTCTCTCTCTCTCTCTGCCCCTCCTCTGCTCTGTCTCTCAAAATATATAAACTTAAAAAAATTAAAAAATAATAAATATATAAATGCAAGTCAAACTGTTTTTTTAATTCCTGGTAGCTTTTTGTTAGTCAGCATTTACAATTACAACGATGTGGGCATCGTGGGAATTTTTTTACATTCAGAGTCCTGAGTGGGGGAGGGGGGCTTCTGGGTGGCTCAAGTCAGTTAAGCGCCTGACTTCTGTTCAGGTCATGATCTCCCCATTCAGGGGTTCAAGCCCCATAGAAACCATAAGCTCAGTTGAAAAGGAATCCAGGCTAGGCTAGGTATGAAACAGCATTCTCAGGGCCTCTGCTCAAACTCAGGCTTCTTTTTCTTTAACCATTAAAAAAAAGTAAAGATTGATACCTTTCAGGGCACCTGGATGGCTCAGTTAAGTATCCAACTTCAGCTCAGGTCACGATTTCATGGTTTGTGGAGTCTGCGCCCCGCGTCCCAGCTCAGGGCCTGGAACCTGCTTCAGATTCTGTGTCTCCCTCTCTCTGCCCCTCCCCCGCTCATGCTGTCGCTCTCAGAAAATGAATATAACATTTTAAAAATTAAAAAAAAAAAAGAGTTCTCAGAACATACATAGTTCTCAAACCTGAAGATTGTGAGCTGTTCAAGGCTTTCCTGCTACTCCCTGTATAAAAGAGCAGCAAGGCAGCTCGTAGCAAACCTAATTAACACCAAGGGTTCGATTCCGGCTCTCCAAAGAGGCAATCGGACAGGAGTCACTCTTCCAGAGAGGCTCAAACCAAATCCTGCAGATCCCCCACCCTTTACAGAGCCAATCGCCCCCCTGCCCCCAAGCCCTCCTCCTGAGATGCCCCGGGGCAGCCCTTCATCTCCCCCTCCCAGGTCCCCGGCTGGCTGTCACCCTCTCCCTCTCCCATGGTCACCCTCCTCCTGAAGCCCCTCCTCTCTCCCTCCCCAGCTCAGGGAGGCCATACACATTCCACACTTTCAGCAGGAAGACGCCATCCAGTTCCAAGCTACAAATTAGGAGGATCTTTGGAGTTCTCACTCACACTGGAAGGGCACTCGAGTGACACCTACTTCTGCACACGACTGGCTTCGGATGAAGCAATACTTGCTGCTCGGGGTGGGGGCGGAAGAGGGGTGAAGCGTGAGGCCATCTAAAAGGAAACTGCCAAGGCAGAGGCCCCAGGGCGGCCAAGGAGGGCTCCCCGGGTCTCTAATGAGGTCCCACATCTCTGAAGTCTCCTTTAAATAAATCACTCTCCAGGCAGTACTGCGAGGGCACTCGAGACCCACGCCTGGCACGAATATCTTCTTTTTCCGCTATCTCCTCTGCCAGTTAAACCGTAAGTCCCTTGACAGCAGAAGTCATGCTAAACGTCCCCGTGTTTTCCACTCCTGCCCCAGAGCTGGAACCCAGGAGGCGGTGATCAGCCATGTGCCTGCAGACGGAAATCGGTGAAACGATTTTGGTTTCGTAAGGAACATTCGGCAGCTTACGTGACCGAAGTAAACACGCAGCCAAGACTGGTGATAATCTTTAATAGTTTACAGCTACAGTATAAAGTTTTACCTGTATAAATACAATTACAGACCATAAATATCCATAGGGCAAAAGATCTGCCTCCAGACAGATCAAAAAACATCGTTGCCACGAAATAAACTAACAGCCTTAAGTAACACTGCAGAAAAACAGATACTGAGGTAATTTTTCATCTAAAGTGACTACAGCCTATCATGAAAACATTCTTACTGTTCAAGTACTTATGAAAGCCTGGTCTCATAATCTAAAAATGTAACTTTAACGAATACGCTTTGAAACTGAACAACATATTTTAATTATAAATAGGTAAAATAAATAAGATCATTCTTGCTGAAATTCAATCATGACATTATTATTTCTTTTTTATGTATTTGGGGGCTTTGTCAGTAGTCTGGCCTTCTAACAATAAAAGGGGGGAATTCATGATACCTTTCACAGAACCTACGTATTATTATAATGCAAATTACACATATAGACGAGATTTCCATTCTGGATGAGCAATCCATTCTTTTTTTAAAAAAGTATATCCTATGTAAAACATGCTTAATTTCTTTTAAAGGACCACTTCTTGCAAGAGGTACACTGACTAGTATGAGAAAAGGCAACTTACAGATTTTCAAAACTTCTTTAGAAATACATTCATTTTCCTATCAAGTTACTTGAGAATTTTTGTTTCACTAAGTTTTAATTACAGCAGTAGAAAGCCTAAATCGTTTTTTTCCCCCCATTATTTCTCAGTATGCAAATCCCCACGTTCTTTATGTTGTAACATTCTAACCGGTAAGAATCTTACTGGCACCATATAACATCTCTATCACATTTCTTCCCAAGTACAGACTTTCCAGCGAAGATTCAGAGGAACATAATTCAATGAAGGGTCATCCGAACAGAAGCAATACATTTTGAGTCAAAAGGAAAAAGCTTTCAAATTACCCTATATTTTGTAGTGACCTACGGGATCAACATTCACCATGACATTGTGTTTCCAGAATGAAATCTTTACTTTTAACAAGGTAATATAAAAACCGAAGACTATACAGCACTTTTCTGTCTTCCAAAAGTGAAAACCAACACTGAACATTTGCTCTTTCTTGCCCTTGCCCACCGTTATCCGTTTGCCAGCACCCCTGGGCAGCAACCTTCAGCACACATACCAGACTAATTTTCGAAGTAAAAACTCAAGGTATAAGTAATTCATTCCTTATGTTGCACAGTTCCTCCATTCTTGCTTTACAAATGAACAAAGTGGTCTTATAGCGTTCTCCCGAGCCTCAGAAAAATGACTTCTGGGAAATCCCCGACAGAAATCCTCTTGGATGTATCCCATCCTGGTTTCCAAGGGCATCCAAAGCAAGTGAGATCTCCCTCACAACCTCCATTACGAGGCAGTCTCTTCTAACTGATGAAATTTGCATTCACTGGGGAACCTTCCGTCTCAAAGCCATCTCCTCATTCGAAAGCTCCCAAAGCAGTCAGGTTCCCGAGCGGAAGAGTTTGGATATCAGATTCATAAGCTTCTGTCGGAAATTCAGTTTGTCTCCAAATCTCCGGAGCTGCATGGCACATTCCACTTCGGGCTCTGAAAAGGAAAGCAAACCATCAAAATCATGCTGACATGACAAACTGTAACCGGCAAGAGCCCCATCCGAGGGGCAAGCTGAGCGTGCATCCAGTGAAGCGTTTATGTCAACTTTAGCTCTAAGCACACCCATTTTCTGAACGTGAGAAAGGTTACTTAGAACACACACACGACATATGTTAACACGGTGTGACTCATAAACAAAAAAACAACAGTTACAGTAAGAATGAAGACTTTTACTTTGAAGTCTTTTTTTTTTTTTTTTAACGCATACCGGATGAGGCAAATGTCATCTTTCTTTCAATAGGGACATTTATGTCACACACCGCAGTTTAGTGAGTCTTTGCCAGCCTCAGATGATGTCATCCTTTTCTCTCTCATTTAAGGCTGGTTGGGGGAACAGAAGTCGGAATTCTAAACTTTTTTATGTTGTTTTCAAGTAGGATTTATTTTATAAATGGCAGTAATTCACAGCTCATATTATGCCTTCATTAATAGGCAAATCCAAATGTGTTCTTATCCCCATTTAAAAAAAAAACTCTTTGAAATCTAGTAAGTCTCATAAAATCTTGTATCCAAATTAAGCCCACATTCTCTAAAATAACTTAGAAATTTATATTCTACTGTAAATCAAATTCTTCCTACAAACCAATTTTTTTTCATACAATCTTCCTATACTTTTTTTTTCTTTGGGGGCCAATAATCTTTTATTTTTTTTAATATAATTTATCATCAAATTGGCTAACATACAATAACACCAATACATAAATTGGTGTCAAGTGTGCTTTTGACAAACCAAATTTGTACCAATCTGTTGCCTTTATGAGTGAAGCAGAAAATACAACGTTTAACTCACATGTGTACTACGTTTGAAACGTGAGATATTATAATTAAACAAATATTAATTGAAGAAAAAGGATTACTAGGAGAGTTTAAAAAAAATGATCCCTTTCACCAAAAAAGGGGGCAGAAAATAGCTAGTTGTTTCCTAAATCTTTATTAATTACACTTCTACAAATGTAGTAACAAAAAAAATTGTAACTAGGTGGAGTGGCGATCTTCACTAAACCTATTATGGGAATCATTTCACAATGTATACATATGTCAAATCATCATTTGATATATGCATATACCACATCAAAGCTAATACAATGTCACAGGTCACTTATATCTCAATTAAACAATGTATTACTATCTAATTAAGTTTAAGAGGGCCCTTATTACTGGGAACGAAGTTAAATGGCAGGCAGGTTATTCTCAGGTTAGGCCTTCCCAAAACAGGAGAATTCTTGGACTTCCCAAAGGGTAGGCCAAGCTTTCTCCCTCCCAAGCAAGACCCGGGAGACAGCAACAAGGTACCGAGTTAGCCTTGGCCGTATCGTCAATCACCACTTCCTTTGCACGCCTCAGGGGCTCTATAAAGCGAAACCAACTTTAAAAGGGGGCCATTATCGTCTGATGCAATAGCAGTAGGACGGATTTCGAGCCCAGAGCCTTTCTGCCTTCTTCGCTACAGCCCCTTGGCAGATGACTGCCTTGTTTGGTAAGAATTAGAAGGGGGGGGGGGGGGCCCCGAAAAGTTATTTGATGGGGCTATATGTGGGGAGGAGGGGAAAGTGGATGGATTAAAAACCACTGCAGACCAACTCCTGTTCTTCTCCTATCCCATCCCCGCAATAATAACGATTGTTAACATGTTGCACTTTTAACAAAGCGGCAAAACTTTCTAGGCTCCTGGCCGCAGTGGTCCTCGCAGGGCCTCTGTAGCGCTCCATCAGTCCTTTGTGGGAAGCGTGAAGGTACCAAGCCAAGTACTGCTTTTTTGCGTTGGGGGGCCCGAGAGTGGCCACACTCAGAGTGGGGACCTCCATGGTCCTCGCCTCAGGAGGAAGAGGGCTAGTCTCAGGAAGCGCTGGAGGCTCCCCGAGCCTCTCTCCCGCCCCCACCTGCCGTGACAATGACTTTCTCCTCGTGATGGTCGCCCGCACTTGCACTTTTCCTCCCCGCGGCCCCAGGGCTGAGCAACTGGGGATGCAAAGCAAGCGAGGCAAGCGAAGCAAGCGAAGAAGAGGCTTTCTTCCTCCGCCCAAACCGCCATCTGCATCCCAAATCGGGTTTCCTCCCGCGCCGTCTCCACGGTCCCGGGGGAAACCCCGCAGGGCTTCCTGGAGGCGCCCCCAAAGCACATGCAGGGGCGCAGACCTGCCCGACCCGGAGGCCGCGTGCCGACGGACTGAGCCCGCCGCGACCGAGACCCCGGCCCCGGCCCCCGCCCCGGCCCCGGCCCCGGCCGGGTTCTCAGCGGGACCCAGCTGCTCCCTACCTGCCGGGGCCCGCGCGGGGCTCGGCTGCGCGCTCTTACGCGTCCTCTTCCCAGGCATCTCCGCCAGCGGCCGCCGGCCACCGTGCCGCAGGAGCCCGGGGTTCTCGGTCCCCTACCCCGAACACCTCGGGGCGGCGGCACGCGAGCTGCACGCGCGCAGGGGACGGGCCGGACCGGGGCGGCGGGACCCAACTCTACCAGCGACGACAGGCGCGCGCGCGCACCTCAGGTCTGAGCGCCGGCCGGCTCCCGCGCTCTCCTCTTATGGGGACTTCCCGGGGACGGTGACGTAGCGAAACTTGACTCTGCGCCCGCCCCTGTCCCCGCCCCCCCCACCCCCCCGAGGGCAGCCGCGTGGGGAGGACCTGCCCGGACTCGCTCGCGGTCCGCGGCGGCGCCGGTCCGCGGCGGGGGGCTCAGCGCTCCCGGCGCGGAGACCCTGCCCCGCCCCCGGATCGCTCCGGTCGCGGACAAGGGGCCGGGGGGGGGGGGGTGGATCGGGGCCGAGAGGCTGCGCCCGCCCGAGGTCGCGGTCGTGGCGGGAGTCCGGGAGTCGCGAGAGGGGAAAGTTCTCGTGGCGGGAAGGCTGGGGGTGGGGAGGCCGGGCGCTCGGCGCTTCCCGTAAACCCGCAGTTAGAGACTCCGGGCCAACCCTGGAAGGAGTGCGGGAGGTTGGGGGCGGGGGAGGAAAGCTGGAACTGGTCGGGGGGGGGGGGGCGGGTAGTTGCGGGGCAGGGGAAGGGAGACAACTTTCATAGCAGGGGAGAGGATGCCAGAGGCGTGCGAGAAAGTACCAGCTTGAAACCCCGGAGCCAGCAAGCCAACGCTGTTTTGGTTTGAGTGGGGGTGCTGGTGTGTGTGGATGCGATGTAGGGCGACAAAGGGACGAGCTGTCGGCCCGGATCAGGTCTGTGTGGAGCACATTGCCCCCGGATAGGTCCATGTTTCTCCCATCTGGATGCTGCGTAGAAACACAAGGAGAGTAGACCGTCAAGTGCCCTTGTGGACGGGGGAACGAGGTATCTGGGGAATAGGAAGTTATTTGCACGATGCTTGCCCGGGCCAGGAGTAACTCCATTCTTATCAAGAGAAGTGGTAATTTGGGGTGGAGAGAGGGTACTGGGGGCCAATTCACGATAAGGGCTTCGGTAGACCATTTCTCATTCTGTCCCCGGAACAACCCTACGAAACTGTCATTCTTAACCATAAAAGCCGCTTTACAGGTGTGAAAACATTGGCCGAGAGTCGTGCCAGGATCTGAACCTGGGCCGGGCCCTACGGAGCAGGAGTTCGTACCCACAGTGGCCTTCCCAGAACGGGAGGGGGGTTTTGGGTGGTTGTGGTTGTTGTTGTTGTTGTTGTTGTTGTTGTTGTTGTTTGGGTTGTTGTTGTTGTTATTGTTTTGAAAGTGAATGGTCTTAATTATCTGCACTGTTCAGTGGCGAGGTTACAAATTGGCCACTTAGGGCTGTCTGGCTCCCAGGAGTGTTTGCTTTTGGTTCAGGGTATTGACTTGCAAAATGTCTTCTGAAGATTTGAAGTGGTTACCAACATTTAAAAATTGAGAGATTACATTAAAATCCCCGATCTCTGGCGTCCTTTGTAAAAGGCGAAGCTCTGACAACCCGGGCTCCCTTTCCGAGCAGAGCAGAGCTGGCTGGAAGTGTGGGAACCTCTCCGCTTGGACCGGGGGCGGGAGCTCCCATCCGCCACACACCCGCCTGTTGCGTTTGCCATTTACATTATGTGGCCCCAGTAGGCGTTTGAGCTTGTTTATTTACCTGAGATCACCCGATCAACGCAAAGCTGCAAGTATTTAGTTATTCATGGCTTGGTCCTACAGAAGTATAGACAAGGCTATCATCGTGGAACCAGACTCCTCCTGAGTTTAAACAACGTAGTTTTGAGTGTGGTAAACACTCAGAGGGTTAAGAGGGGGCCGCACTGAGGAGTTATCCCCCGACCTGGGAAGCGCCGCAGAGATGCGGCCTCCAAATCTTTTGTCACAGCCCAAAGCCACGGGGACTCTTGCAGGGCTCATTTTGACTGTCTGAATACTTAAGGAACACCATTAACTTTCTGACTGGATGAATTAGGAAACATCTGGCCACATCGTGCACCCTGAAATGCAGGGAATACATTCAACGAAAGAAAAGCCAGTCCTACGGTTGTTTACCTACAGAGAGGGTGCCAATCTCCTCCTGGAACATTATCATTACAAAAGGTTGTTGGCCACGTGACCCCTACTAGGTACAAACCTTAGGCAAGTGGTGCCTTTTAGCGAATTGCAAATTCAGCTTGCTGGGAGGGGAAGGGAGGGGAGAAGCTAAGAGGAGATAGGCTTCAGAGGTGGGTCAAGTCAGCAATTTATGGAGGATTTTCAAGATTCTGGATTTGAGGGCGCGTGTGTGGATCAGTTGGTCAAGCGTCTGACTTTGGCTCAGATCATGATCTCAGGGTTAGTGGGTTCAAGTCCCTCATCTGGCTCTCTGCTGTCAACATAGAGCCCAGTTCAGATCCTCTGTCTACCTCTGTCTCTGCCCCTTCCCTGCTCGCTCGCGCTCTCTCTCTCTCTCTCTCTCAAAAATAAATAATCATTAAAAAAAGATTTCTAAATTTGAGATGGTTCATAAGCTGTCAGATTTAACATTCTATTAAGGGAATTAGAAGCTGAGTGTGGAAAGGCTCTCTTACCTGTATACTTCTCTGGAAAAGTGACGTATCATTTACTGAGAGCTTGTGAGAAATAGAAACATATCAGCGTATTTTGACCCCTGGGACTGACATCACAAAGACTTATCAGGAAGCATTAGAATACCCAGTTATCTGTTGAATGGGAGAAAAGGCGAAGAGGGGAGGGGCTGGGGTAGGGAGGGGAGAGGGAGAAGGAGGAAAAAAAGAACGGTGAGGACCATTTTTAAAGCTATTACCAGGTATCAGTTTTCATGGACCAAGTTCAAAAATAACAGTGTAGGGGCGCCTGGGTGGCGCAGTCGGTTGAGCGTCCGACTTCAGCCAGGTCACGATCTCGCGGTCCGTGATTTCGAGCCCCGCGTCAGGCTCTGGGCTGATGGCTCGGAGCCTAGAGTCTGTTTCCGATTCTGTGTCTCCCTCTCTCTCTGCCCCTCCCCCGTTCATGCTCTGTCTCTCTCTGTCCCAAAAATAAATAAACGTTGAAAAAAAATTAAAAAAAAAAAAATAATAACAGTGTAAACCTGGCTATGCCTGTGTTGTCATGAGAGCGTTTTTTTTTAATTACTAAAAAAAAAAAAAAAAAGAAAAAACACAAAACAGAACAGAAAACATGATTAGTAATAGAACAGTCATTCGCGTGTTTCGTGCAGAAAATAGGATTTGACAGGAAGACAAAGAATATGACAGATGTAAGGGGGAATTTCAAGAGAGCTGTGACAAATACAGACAGGCTAAGGACCTGAGTCTCTGTATTCCGATAAAAGGAGACTTGCTTTTTTCTAGTTTGGTCATTGTTTTTTTCCTGCGAGGCACGCTGGTTAAAGGAAATGGGCCCGATGCATTCATCAGTTACATCTCTCTTTAAACAGCCACTGTGCTGGGCTCTGGGAGACAGTGCTCCCTACCCCCCGTGGAGGTTATGCTGAAGAGACCAACACCTCACAAAGCCAATGTGCATGAGAACCACCCAAGTCTCTGGTGAAAATGCACATCTGATGGTGAAAATCTACCTGAGCTCCACAAACTCTGGTGATGCCCTAGTGCCTGTCCCCGGGACCTCGCTTTGAGTAGCAAAGGCTAGAGGGTGATACAGGTAAGAACACAGGCGGTTACAAGGAGATGTGCGTCAAGGCTGTCCCACGGAAATGATGGGGGACTATGGGACGGCCCCGGAGGGCCATGGGGCAGGAAAGGACATCTGCGTAGAAAGGGACTGAGGCATAAATGGGATCGGCTAAGCAATGAGGCCAAAGAAAAGAAGTATGTTCTGGGCAAAGACTGCAGGGCAGTGTGAGGAGGAAGGGGTGAGAGGCGAGTGGAGACGGAAGCCACCTCAGGAGTCTGTGTATTATTTGGGGGGGGGGGGCCCCCGGGGGAACCACTGAAGGGTTTAGGCATGTGGGTGATAGGGTCAGACTCTAGACAGTTCACTCTGGCTGCACTATTACTAGATGAGCTGAGCTAAGAGGTGTGACGCTGTGACTCATGAAGATATGTGCTGTGGTCATCCTCCTCCAAGATGGTAGTGTCCACAAGGACAGTCACAGTATTAACCCCTGTCTCATCAAAACCCCCACATTTCCATGGGGCGCCCGGGTGGCTCAGTCCGTTGAGTGTCTGACTCTTGATTTCGGCCCAGACCGTGATCCCAGCGTCGTGGGATCGAGCCCCATGCTGGGCTCTGTGCTGAGCGTGGAGCCGGCTTAGGATTCTCTCCCTCCCTCTGCCCTTCTCCACCCGCCAACCTCCCGCCAATAAAAAAAATACGAAAATAAAATTCCCACATTTCCTGATTAGGATAGGACCACATTCTATTGGAGCAAGACTTGATATTTTTCAGCACGATTATAATTTTCTCCTATATTAGGGTCCTAAGGCTGCCACGACAAAGTACCACAAACTGAGGGGTTTAAACCAATGGGAGCGTGGGCACCCAGAGGGCTCTGTCAGTGGAGCGGGCAGCTCTTGATCTCACAGTCGCGAGTCCAAGCACCGCCTTGGGAACAGAGCGTAGAGATTACTTTAAACAAATAAAATAAAATCTTAAAACAATAGTTCATCCCCGCACAATTCTGGAGGCTGACATCAAGGTTTGGTATGGGCAGGGCTGTGCTCTCTCTGGGGTCTCAATGGGAGGAAATCTGCCTTGTCTTCTCAGCTTCCCGTGGTCGCCTGCAGTAATGACCTTCCTTTACTTGTAGATACATCGCTCCAATCTCCGCCTCAGTCTTCACATGGCCTTCTTTTCAAATTTCTCCCGAAGACATCAGTCATTGTTTGAGGGTCCTCCCTGCTCCAATAGGATCTCATTTTAATGAGACTCCATCGGCAAAGACCGTGTTTTCCAATAAGTTTACGTTCATAGATGGAGGTAGGGGATGATGAGATGGGGGGGCCGTATACTTCAGCATATCTTTTTGAGGGACGCAGCTCAAGCCATCACATCTCCCTTATCAAGGGCCTTTTAAAAATTTCTGTATATACATTTTCTTTCATCCTATTTGCAATTTGCACAATTTGTAAACCAAAAGGCCCTTAGTAAACTTGACAGTGGGTTCAAGCGGCCAGAAATAAAGCTCCAGAGTAGTGTGGTTAAGATAAGAAATGAGATGGCTTCTAAGGGAACAGGTTTAGGACACCTGTCAGCCACAGAAGGCATGCACATCTTAGTTGGAGACTGTGGTATGATGCCTTCCCTTCGTCCCACCCCCAGGCTTCTCACTCACAAGGCCAAATGAGTTTTTGATAAATTCTTGGGTGGAGCTTGAAAGCAAATTTAATTTTCGTTAGTGCAACGTATAAGCACATTGTAAAATTTGGACCGCATTTTAAATTTGTTTAATCCCCCAAAGTTTCTATGCTTCATTTTCTTCTCTCTGGTTTACAAATGTTATGTTTGGGGGACCGGGGTGGCGCAGTCCATTGAGCGTCTGACTCTTGATTTCAGCTCAGGTCATGACCCCACGGTCGTGGGATCGAGCCCTCTTTCCCCGTGCTGAGCGTGGAGCCTGCTTGGGATTCTCTCTCCCTCTGCTGCTCCTCCGTTTGCGCACATGGTGATGCGTGCTCTCCCCCCTCCCCCAATTAATATATTTTTTTCTGTTTTCTTGCTGGATAATCACAAATAACGATCATCAAGCATGTTTGTGCTTTATTCATCTGTGAAGATTCCAGAAGAGAAATAGGCAGTGTTATGGCTCAACAAGTATCAACTGAACAGTGGAAATCAGTCGGTATCGGAGCATTTTAGCTGAGCTGTTGATTTTCAACAACTGGTAAGTTCAACTGACTTAGAGGATTTAATCAAGACATGATTAGGAAATGCTGTGTTTATTAGCATCCAGAGCATCTGATGATAAAATGATTTTTAGGTGGTTATTGAATAACTGCTAGCAAGGCAATTCAGTCTTGTGTGCGTAGAAAACAATGATTGTTTAAGTGTAATCTGTGTAACTACAACCTCAGGATCAATTTAAAATGGAGACTTGATCTCACATTATTAGTGTGCTTCACAATCCATGGGGCCCTGGCCTGAAAATCCTCATTTTCACAAGCTTCTACACTAATGGAGAGGATGAAAAACCACTTAAGAAATGATACCCGGGGCACCTGGGTGGCTCAGTCAGTTAAGCTTCTGACGCATGGTCTCTCGGTTCGTGAGTTCAAGCCCCACACCAGGTTCCACATTGGCAGTCAGTACGGAGCCTGCTTGGGATTCTCTCTTTCTCCTCTCTCTGTCTCTGCCCCTCCCCTGCTCATGTGCTCTGCCTCTCTCTCTCTCTCTCTCTCAAAAATAAGTTAATTAATTTAGAAAGATGATACCTGACCTCAAATAGTGTAGAGTCTAGTTAAAGAAATAAAATATATATGAATTAGCAAATAATTAAAAATGGAATCTCATTTGTTATGAAATTATGACACATGGAAATATTTTTACAAGATAGTTAAGTGAAAATAATTTGTACATTGCTTTTATTGGATAAGCGTTATATTTCACAATTAAAAAAAATTATGTAGGGGGGCGCCTGGTTGGCTCAGTTAGTTAAACGGCCGACTCTTGGTTTTGGCTCCGATCATGATCTCACAGGTGGTGGGTTCGAGCCCCGAGCTGGACTCTGTGCTGACCTGCAGAGTCTGCTTAGAATTCTCTCCTTCTTTCTCTGCCCCTCCCTGCTCTTTCTCTCTCTTTCTTCTGTCTCTCTCTCTCTCTCTCTCTCTCTCGATAAATAAACTTTATAAACAAAAAAAAAACAAGTAGGGAAAGGGGCAAAAAAAAAAAAAAAAAAAAAAGACTTGTTAATTATCCTCAGGAGACAAAAGAAGCCTGGACCTCCAGGATAAACAGTCTTAGGAAAAAAGGATAAAAACCGTGATAACACATTCACAATCCGACCCATAGCATTTGCCCGGCGGAATGGGAAGAGGCAGGGCTGAAATTCTTGGTTCTCATGATCGACAAGAGGCAGAAGGGGCAAAACATAACACGATTGATAAACGAGAGGGGAACTAGAAATTAGAAGATGTTCCGAGTGTCCAGAAGCTTTGAGTGTTACACCTTTGAGCAGAATTCTCAGCCGGCTGTAGGGATGGTTGCTGCCTTTAGCAGAAGGTACAACGTCAACTCCGGCACACTGACGTGGAAATGGAGGCGGAATTCTTGCTTACCCTCAGCCATGCCTAATTCCATCTGCCGACAGCACCCCAGGGGGGACTCTGTGTCACTGACCTAGTGGACTTGTGAGCCTTGGGAATGACATGTAGGGGGCCGCCAATGCATCTCACTGATACCCACCTCGTTGAGCCTTCTTCTAACTCACCGAATCCCTTCCTGCTTCTGAGCCTTTACCCTCGCCCTGGACTCTGCCTAGAATGCTTTCTCCTGATTTTTCCATAACTAGATAGATAATTCCGGCCATTCAGGTCTCAGAACAAATGCTACTCTCTTGGCAAGCCCCCCCGCCGCGGACAATCCTGTCTAAAATTGCCCACCCCTACCCTCCATATGACTCTCTACCGTGAGATCTATTTTCTTTAGTTGTCCGACTTGTTTACTGTCTGGTTCCCCTTCTGAACTCAAACTTGACATGTGCTCACACCTTATATGGCGTGTTCTCTCCTGGTCCCAGCACCTAGACCTATGGTACCAGGCACATGAGCAGACCTCAGCAAATATTTGTTGAGTAAAATCCCTGGCCATTAATGGGATGTTGGGAAGGACCTTCCACTCTAAAACAATTGTGTGGACTAGGTTTTCACTTTTCCACACACAGAGGAGAAAACCAAAACTGAAGATTACTATCATTTGCCTGAATTTGCAGTGCTAAGAAGTAAGCCAGTGGCCATGATAATCCAAAACTTCTTACTCTACGCTTAGTTCATTACATCTAGTTACTGGTTGATAAGAAAGGGGCATCTGGGTGGCTCAGTCGGTTGGGCGGCCGACTTCGGCTCAGGTCATGATCTCGCGGTCCGTGAGTTCGAGCCCCGTGTTGGGCTCCGTGCCGACAGCTCAGAGCCTGGAGCCTGTTTCAGATTCTGTGTCTCCCTCTCTCTGATCCGCCCCTGTTCATGCTCTGTCTCTCCCTGTCTCAAAAATAAATAAAAACGGTAAAAAAAAAAAAAAAAAGGTTGACAGTAATCAGAAGAGATCACAGATGCTGGGCATTTGCAATCTGCCTCTTTTTTTTTTTTTTTTCCTATAAAAGTATTTCTCTTCAGCAACAAACCTCCAGATTTAAAAGTTGAGATGCTCAGAGGAAGAGGTGATGATGATGAACACACTTAGCTGGGCACTGTCCGAAGCGTTCTGTTTTCCTTCTCCTTCTAGGGCCCTTCTCAGCTGCTTCCCTTCTGACAGAGGCCACTGCCTTCCGCCCACCCCTCTCTCTCCCCCTGCCCAGTCTCACGCGCTCCCGCAGCCCATCCTGACCTACTCTTACCCCACCCACCCCCTCCAGATGTCCAGGCCGAAGACCCAGGACTCACCCTCCTCCCTCCCTCTCGGGCACCTTCACAGCCAGTCTGTCTGAAATCATCCTGAACGCCTGTTGGCTCGCTCTACACCGGTTCATCCACTCACCTGGGCCCCTGCAGGGGCTCCCTGCACCCCACCCCCACCCCCACCCCTGTACCCTACCCCTCTTCTGTCTGTTCTTCACAAGGGAGCCAGCTTGACTTTCTCTAATGCTAATTTCCCCTGTCCCTTCTTCCAGGCTTTCTACCCATTGTCCACACTGCTTCCAGAGTGGAGCAGATTTTTATTTTTAAAAAACAAGATCTGGGGCACCAGGGTGGCTCCATCGGTTAAGCGTCGACTTCAGCTCAGGTCATGATCTCCTGGTTTGTGAGTTCGAGCCCCACATCCGGCTCTGTGCTGACAGTTCAGAGCCTGGAGCCTGCTTCAGATTCTGTGTCTCCCTCTCCTTCTCTGCCCCTCCCCTGCTTGCACTCTCTCTCTCTCTCTCTCTCTCTCTCTCTCTCTCTCTCAATCTCTCTCTCTCAAAAATAAATAAACTTTAAAAAAAATTTTTTTTTAATCAAAACAAGATCCCTTCTCTGCTTAAAGCTTTTGGGGATCTCTGATCGTCCCTGGAGTCAAAGCAAATATGAAAAAGCCACCTGCCAGAGCTCAAGGGAAAAAATGGAGTGAGAGTTTATTCTTGCTTATTCTTATTCCCAGACAGGACAAGGGAGGGGGTAGTGCCCGGGAGGAATCCCCCACCCCCAGCTATCCATGTGGGGGAGAGGACAGGTGGACAATGCTGGAGAAGGAGAGGGAGGGAGGGAGGAAGGGGAGGAGGGAGGGAGGGAGGAGGGAGAGAGAGAGGAGGCCGGTGTGAAATCAGCAGCCCCAGCACTCTGACACAAAGTGAGGAAGAAAAGCCATGAGAAATTATAAAAGATGTCAAGTCAGATACCACATCGGTATTCTAAAATAGTCTTACAGGGGCGCCTGGGTGGCTCAGTCGGTTAAGCGGCCGACTTTGGCTCAGGTCATGATCTCGCAGTCTGTGAGTTCGAGCCCCGCGTCGGGCTCTGTGCTGACAGCTCAGAGCCTGGAGCCTGTTTCAGATTCTGTGTCTCCCTCTCTCTCTGACCCTCCCCTGTTCATGCTCTGTCTCTCTCTGTCTCAAAAATAAATAAACGTTAAAAAAAATTAAAATAGTCTTACAGTCCAGCAACAACCACTTAGAAAATATAATGTTTAAAAAATACCCATTAATGGGATGCCCGGCTGGCTCGGTCCGTAGATTGTGCCACTTCTGATCGTGGGGTCGCTGACAACCTGTGCCCACACGCCGTCCTGTTCTTCACACACGACAGTCAACACCTGGTTCTCAAACAGGCTTCGTGTGACAGGATTTTGCGCCACGGCGGGCTCATGTCAGTGGTCGGAGCTCAGGTGAGGGAGGCGCAGCCGAGCTCTGATGTCAGTGTAGTAAATGCATTTTTAACTTAGGATATTTTATTTTATTTTATTTTATTAATTTTTTTAAATGTTTATTTATTATTTTGAGAGAGGGAGAGAGAGAGACAGAGTGTGAGCAGGGAAGGGGCAGAGAGAGAGGGAGACACGGAATCTGAAACTGCCTCCAAGCTCTGAGCTGTCAGCACAGAGCCCGACTTGGGGCTCGAACTCAACCAACCATGAAATCGTGACCTGAGCTGAAGTCGGACGCTCAACCTACTGAGCCACCCAGGAGCCCAGCGACTTAGGATATTTTCAACTCATAATGGGTTTATCTGTTTTTTCGCTGACAAGAAGTACCCGAAAGAAGATGGGACTCCCAAAGAAGGACGATGCTAGGTACACCTTAGGTTAGTGGGGGACTTAGTTCTCTGACACCCTTTTTTGTTATTTCATTGTATTGATATTCCAGCATCACTGTTTACTTGCTCCGTGTACTTGAGCAAGTTGCTTCACTTCTCTGAGCCAAGGTTTCCTATTCTGGAAAGGGAGACTAATAATGATACCTCCCACCCAGGGCTTTGTCCTGAGAATGAAAACG